GGCTCCTTCTCCTCAGCGGGCCTGCCTGCCGCCGGCCACCGCGCTGGGCCCTCGCCCTTTGTCTGGCGTTGAGGAATGCCTGGTGGTGCCTGCCCTTGCGCCCACGGCGGTGGGCTGCGCTGCCGCCTTCAGCGGCGTGATCACCGGGGTCGCCGACCGCTGGACGCGCTTCCAGCCGTACTCCTTCCACCGTTCAGACTCAGCTCTAAGAAATAACATATTATAGAGCCTCATTAAGCAACCCATGGCGGGGGGGGGGCAGAAATCCAGCTGCAGTTACCTGCTACCCACACTCCATTAGCAGATCCCGTGGGAAAACTTGCTCTTCCTGTGGTGTATGAGAGAAGGGAGAGGAGTTTTTCCTCTTCTACCCTCGTTCAGCATCGATTTTCTTATTGCTGCTTTGTCCAGTGGCATGCCTAACCAGGGACCGAGGCAAATTCTTTGTCTTTACAGTTGTTGTAGGATGTGTCTCTTGTTGCTTATGCGTTGAGTTTGAAGCAGATTGTCAGTATTATCTTGATGGATGTTGCCAATTGAATGATGCGCAGGTGGTTAAAGCTGTGTGAAAAGTAGCATAGCCTCACGGGAGACCTTATCGAAGGGAAGACTGGATGGCAGTAAGTATGGTTTCTGAGGGGAGGGGTTATGGCTGAGACTGACAAAATTCTGAAGGTGGTGGGTAAGAGGAATGGAGAACCACTACTCACCAAATGTGCTAGTATTAGAGGAGGGACACTTGGTGGATTTAATAGATTAGTTTATATTTTAAAGCATTTTATCTGTTTTATAGTGAATTTCAGCAATCTGCTGCTATGGGAGGTTGTAGAAGTGGACAGTATTTAGTAGAGTCCAAAAAAGGATTAGCCAAATTACAATACATTGGATTCATAAACAACATCCAAAAATGACTAGGCAAGGATTTGCCTTCTAATGTCCCTAGTGTGGCAGCTTTGTCAGTTGGAGGAGTGTGAGGGGAGCAGACCACAGACAGTGGCCAGGGTCATGTTGTTTCTTTAAACAGCATTTCTTGTTGCTGTTGCCCAGACGGAGGATGGCCTGGTGTTTAGAGGAACTGTGGACTTGAACCAGTAGGACATTTCTTCTGCTCTTATCTTTATAGCTTTGTTTATTTTCTGTAGAGGCATGTGTGTAAAATAGCACTGTTTTTTAAAAATAGTTTTGTAACAGCTGGGAGGGCTTGAGGAACTGAGGCTGACAGGCATGATTTCTGTATCAACCCACAGCTCCCTGACCAAGCAGTGAGGGAAGGGGTCTTTTTAAAATATAGCAGGGTCCTATCATCACAGACATGCTAATGTTCATTTAAATTAACTTGGGAAAGTATATGCTGCAAATAGCAACCTGGCAGACTTGGTTTTGTAGACATCGGGGCTCAAGCTCACGGCAGAGCCCTACAAGGCTGCTTTTCTGTCCTAGTTCCGCGATATTTTTGGCTGTAATGATCGCTTGCTTTTTCTCTAGTTAAGTGTGGACTGAGGGACAGTAAGTGTTTTGAAAGTAAGCGTATGCCGCTGCATGGCTTTAAAAAAGGTAGTTATCTCAAACTTGGTCTGTGTTGTATGTGATGAAAGACCATTCAAACTTTTTTTTTCATCTGTGGTTAAAATAAAACAGTAGGTTTATTTTAAATAGAAATGTGCAAACTGGGCATTAGTAGAAACGCTATGAACTGTGAGCAAAATACAGAGCAGAACAGGGAATTCTAGTACGATTCAAACATAACTGAAGCTTGTTTATTTTTTTTCAATCTGGGAGCAGAGATGCATTAGACTTAGTGCACCCTTTACTTTTAAAGTAGCACAGTGTGTGATGTTTTAATCCCTTTTCAACTTAATTGCATCCTGTTAGACCAGGGTATTCTGAAATAGGTGTTGAGTCTTGGGAACTGTAAATACAGTGGAAGCAAGTAGCAGAACAGAATGTGGATTTCACTGGTCCTACTGATTTTGAGGCCTTTGGGGAAGTCTTATTCTCAACTGGAGGCAAGGATATCTGCTGATACATCATCTGCAGTTTCTGGGACCACAGTTGCATGTGGTAGCTGTTCCAGTGAGGATTTCACTGCTGCTGTAGCATGTGTTGGTAGAACCTCTTGCATTCGGTAAGAATAATGTGGGGTGATACGTGCTTTTGAGATGGAGCCAACTGCTTGGGAAGAAGAACAGAAAACACACGTGCTAAGTTAACAGCAGAAGCAGCTTAGTCCCAGAATGTGTACAGGGTTTACAAATACTATAATGATTGTTTCCAGGACTCATTGCATCACTGTTGTGATCTATTGCCATCTACTATAACGAAGTCTTAATGAGGAAAGAGCATATTAAAAAAGGGGGGAGGAATCATTGAGGGAGGCAGGCAGGGAGCTTGGAAGGGGACTGCTGGAATCCAGTGTTTTCAGCTATATGATTTATTCCACATTGGGAAATCTCCTCTCTGTCATCACGATAGTGATTCTGGATGACCCAGTATCTTGGGTAATACGTGCAGAGTAACAGTACTTTATTGCAGTCTGGGAAAAAAAGAATGTACGTAATATTTTAAAACAGCTGATACTGGTTCCTGGTTGCAGGCTTCATTGACCCAAGGCATCCCTTCATAACCACACTATTGCCTACTGGAGACTTCTGCAGAACAGAAGGGAACGGTCAGGAAGCAAAGATGATCTCCTTCAAGCAAATGCCCCTTGAAGCAAAGGCTGCAGTGACTGCAGGAGTCGTTTTCTTCTCCATGATGCTATCACGGAGTTATCTGGCAGAAAAACTCGATCTCAGGACACGGCGTTGGCTTCTAAGGCTGCAGATGGCACTCTTTGCTAATGCGCTCATGTTGATAGGATCTCTTCATGTTTGGAGAAGCACAGTCACCACATTCTCCAGGTCTTCAGCTGCCAGCTCCTTCTGTTTCATGCCATGGAAAATAGCTGTGTTCATATTTCTAACTTTGGCTCATTCAAGCTTCTTTACGTTGCTATTTCTTGTGGCGGAAGAGCCCTATTTCTTTTCTTTAGCTGCCTACACTTGCCTGGGGGCCTATATCATTCTTATCTTCTTCCTCTTCACTCTAGGCTCTGTAGAGCAGGCTTACAAGTTCTTGACTGGGAGAGGCGCTAAGGCAGGCACTGGCAACAAGAACAGAACAGCAATGAAACCAGTTTTGGCAGTCATGCTGACTGTTGTGCTGACTGTTGTAGGGCTGTTAAATGCTTCCCAGCCTCCTACTGTGAATTCAGTGGAGGTTCCAGTTCACAAGCTGCCCTCAACAATGAATAATCTGAAAGTGGTGTTGCTTTCAGATATCCATCTGGGCCCTACAGTTGGGAAGACCAAGCTTGCCATGATTGTGAGAATGGTTAAGGCTTTAAAACCAGATGTCACCGTGATTGTTGGGGACCTGACTGACTCTGAGGCAGAGATCATACGACCTGCTGTTGAGCCTCTTGGAGAGCTTAACTCCCCTTTGGGGACTTACTTTGTCACAGGAAACCATGAGTACTACACATCAGATGTTAGCAACTGGTTTGAGCTGTTAAAATCATTTAACATTCGGCCACTTCATAATGAGAATGTGAAGATTGTTTCACCGAAGAACACTGATGACTGGTTCTGCCTGGCTGGCGTTGACGATATTGAAGCAGATGTATTACGCTACTCAGGACATGGCATGGATTTAAAAAAAGCTCTCAGAGATTGTAGCAGTGAGCATGCAATAGTGCTGTTAGCTCATCAGCCGACCGCTGCAAAGTGGGCCCTTCAGGAGAGACCAGACATAAATTTAATTCTCTCTGGCCATACTCACGGAGGGCAGATGTTCCCACTAAATGCTGGAGCTTATTTTCTGAATCCATTCTTTGTTGGCCTGTACAAAGTTGGGCAGAACACCTTTGTCTATGTCAGCCCGGGGACGATGTACTTTGGAATACCTATGAGGCTGGGCAGCAGAGCTGAAATTACGGAGATAATTCTACGTTCTCCTTGAGCAAGGAATTTTCCATTTGACAGACTTCCACCATCCTTTTTGGTCAGTATATTGTTTTTTCTGCTGTGAAAGTAAATCCTTTTTCAGCGAAGCCAGAGAAGATGTGTTGGGGTGGACTTCAGCAGGTTCTGTTAAGTTTGAGCAGAAAACACTAACTGTATCTTGGGCATGTGAAACAAATCGGGGGTATGTTAAAATACTGAAGAAATTAATTATTTGAATTCATTATTATTAAGATAAAGATAATACTGATGTCATGAAGATAATGTGTGTCCTGTGCATGTTTAGTAATACCTGTGTCCTGCAGCTACTTCATGTTCCACTGTTTATTATCCATGAGTCAGCTGCCTTATCAAATCTCAGACAGGTGAAGTTCTGATCTCTTGCAGGGAAATTGCTCATGCATATTTTTGTGGAAGGGACTACAGAGTGTCCACTGAGTACGCAAGCTTTAGAAGCCTTATGCTAGAGATGTTAAGGGAAGGGAATAGTTTTGCATTTCTTATTGAGGCTGGATATTTTTAGCCTGCTAGCTGTCTGCAGCATGCACTGGGGCTTCCAGTCTGTGCTGCTTACCAGTACAGTAAGTTGCCAGGCATCGGTTCCTGAAATTAAATTTTTTCCAGGTAAAAAGCTGGCGAGACTGATATGAAAGGGTGAAAGTAGCTGTCTTTCTGCAGGCATTTTCCCCAGAATAACTGGGCATCTAGTAATTATTTACTGAAAACAGCTCTAATAAAACCAAGTGAGAAAGAAAACTCGTAATTAACATAACTTCTGAGCATACAATACCTCCTGATGTAAAGCACAAAATCCAAAGCTGAAATACTCAGTCTCTTTTCGTTCTGTATTTTTTTTGTTTATGCTTAATTTCTCTTCTGTGATTTTTCTCTTACGAGAGTAAGGAGATGCTATTTGAAAGCAATGCAAATAGGTTAATGCTTGAACTTTAAATGGTGACCTTTTTAAGAAAAATAAACTCTGCAGCAGGTGACTTTCCTTAATAGCATTCCTGTATCAATTTCCTGGTTGTCTGATAGGCACATAACAGAATAACTGCTACAGGATGACGAGGAATGGAAAATTTCTTTCTGCCTTTCCTGAAGGGACTTAACACAAATTAATATCATTCTGGGAAATCTGAGAGATCAGAAAATATTAATAGTATCATTCTTGCTTCCCTATCTTTGTGTTCATATAAGAAAGCCAGGATGTAAATTACTGTGCGTATGTTGTCCAGGCTGATGAAAGAGTTTACTTCTGTACACCTTCCTCTTTCTTCCCCTTCTACCTCAGTGTTGCTGTATGAAATGCCCGAAACAATACAAGTCTGGGAATTCTGCCTCTGACTGAAGTCTGCAGTTGTAGCCACAGGGTTTCCCTTGCTCTGCCTTTCTGCCCACCGGTACCTGGGTTCCTCTCAGGCAGACCTATGTAGCCTGGGGCAAAAGAGATCAGTGCTTTGTCATGGGTCCCGATTTAGGATCGTGCTGACTATGCCAATTTGTTGCGAATGAGTGATTTAGATCAGTTAAAGAATCAGCATCAGAAGTATTGGCAAAAGTGGCTTTAATATGATGTTGTAAAAGTGTGACTTAACAAAGTTCAATGGCAAAGTTCACTCTCTTACTTACTACGTGGAAGAAACATACAAAGGAAAATTGAGTTAGAATCGAGCTAGAATGACTTACACAGAGACTGGGGATGCAGAAGGGTAAGGAAGACCCTCATGTTGATTCGCAGAGCTTAGAATGGACCCCCTTGCTTTCTAAACTCCTCAAGAGAGGAGTCTAGGTGTGGCTGGATCCAGACTTAGTGACAGACTTGGTCAACGGTTTATGTCTAAAGGATTACATACGCAAACTTTGTAATGATTAACGTTGACTAGCTACATGAAATCCTAATGTTTCATTAGTATTAATTCAGCATGCTATCAGTCACTTACCAAGGATCTGTTGTGCGTAAGGGATCTCTCTGCTCTGGGCAAGGATCTCTCAGCCTCAGGTAAAGGAATCTCAGACCTTGGGAGGCATCCCTGCTCAAGGGGAGAGTCACCTGGCATGCAGTCTAGCTGCAGTTCAGGGAGAGCTCAAATTGGGCTCATCAAAAGATGTGCCGTTGGTAGAAGGTGTCTCTGCCTCGAGGAGCAACCTGGAGAGGCGTCCCAGCTCAAGGGGACATTGCTGCCATGCAGCCATGCTGCCTAGCAGGGAGAGCTCAAAAAAGGCTCACTTAGGCTGTCATATTTAATGGAATAAATTGGGAATAAAGTCAAATTGTATACAATGGGAAAGGTGTGCATGAGACTCCTTACCCACAACATTATTCATTCCTTGATAAACGAGTCTTGGAAAAGCCACCTGCTGTTCACACATTAGTTCCATCATCAGTGTTCCAAGCTTATATGCACTGATGCTCGCTGCATCACTCTGCTCCTTTGTGGGTTTTCTAGAGGCGTTCTTGGCCCAGCTGTGGCTCAGGCCTTTACCTCCTTTGGGGCCTGTACTGAACTACTGCTCGTTTGGTTAAGGGATCGAGTGCATCTGTCATGCTTACACGTGAGACTGAGGATGGCAAGACCAGAACTGTGGTGTTCAGTCTTTTCCTGACTTCCTGTGTGGTCCTGAACCAGACGCGCTTCTGGTTTGTTCTTCGGCTCCTGTTCTCATTTTGCAGGAGCTATGTGGTGGTGTATTTGAAGACTACCATAGGTTTTGTAAAGTTGAGTTTTTCTGTAAGTGAAATTTTGAAGTTTCACTTCATTCACTCCCTTTACCGCCCCCCCCCCCCCCCCTTTCCCCCCCCCCCCCCCACCCCCGGCAGAGTTTCTAACTGCTGAGCTGGTTTTATATCCTGTTCCTCTGCACAAACATCTTGCATTTTTACTCACAGGTATATTGAGGAATACTGTAAATGTGTGCTGGAAGGTCGATGGAAGAGTTGGAGAAGTCAGTCCTCTTTTAGTCTGAACACCTGACCAGCTGGGCTCTCTACTTGCTGGACTAGATAATTTCTGTTTCCCAGCACCTATAATTTTGTAAACTTTTTTTAATGCTTGTACAATAATATCTGCTTAACTATCCTAATGTTTCCACATGTATTTAACACTGCCCGCATGGGGTTCTTCTGAGGTTCTTTCCTGTCGGTGATGTAGTGTCAAGTGGTCTTGTGTAGAGAGAATCTTGATAACCTGTAACCCTCCATGTACTTATCAAGATGCCTTCAGTTAAAAGCTATGTTCTGGGTTTAGTAGTGCGGAGTATTCCCTCTAGGCCAGTGGTCCAGGAGGATAGCTTTTCATTTGTTACGCTGGCTGAGGGTTATTACTGTGTTAAGAAGACTAATCATTAAGCAAGTTTCCTTATCAGGAGGCTTTTTTGGGACTGGTTTTAGATGGTCTTAGTTTCCCAGTGAGTTGCTAGTATTTTTTTCTCCCCCCTCCCCCCCCATTTCGCTCTTCATTCTGTCCAAATGTGTGCAAAAACCTAGTTGAAGTGGTCCTTCCATTCCTGGGGCACATAGATGACTTCATCACTTTGTACATGCCCCTCTTGGAAGATCTTTGTGTATCCTTTCAGGAGCAGATACACATCCCTTTAGGAGTGGTCATATTATCATTTCATAAATTTATTTAGTTCTCCCAACGTAATTCAGTTCTTGTTAATTTTTTTCTTTAAGTCTCTCCCTCTGAAAGCATGTTTGTTTGATGATTAGTTATCACTTAAAATGTTTTCTTTCTGTGCCAAAACACTTCAAAGTCTTTTCCTATTTTGCTTTTTTTTTTCAAGTATGAATGGAAATTACCCTGAATCAACTTTCTTTTTGATAGTAAGAGGAATTAACCTTTTCTAAGATCTCTCCAAGACAGCAATCCCTAATTGTCCTTCAAGGCTTTTTCTATACGTTTTCCTATTTGACTTGAATGTGCATGTTGTAGACCTGTGTTCAGTGTTCCAAATAAAAAAAAAAAAAAAAAATTACTGTGCTGCTTATTTTGTAATTTTTTGTATATTTTTGTAAATCTTTTTTTGATGTGTATGGAATGTATTCGATCTGGAGAACTTAAGTAAATTAATATATGTTTCTTCCTGTAAAAGGCCAGATCATTGAGGGGGAGACTTAGTCGCTGTCAGAATAATACCAGAATAAGTATGAGAATAGAGTAGTATCATCGCTTTGTGAAAGTTATTTTTATTATGTTATAGAATCAGTATAGAGTGGATTTGAAAATATGTAAGTTGTGGTATAACAAATGCTTTAAATTATGGGATTTAATAAAACTTTATTCGCTTATCAAGAAAGATGCCTCTAATGCTCTTTTATTTTGTACCAATATTTATTGCAGCAGTTTATGCTGAACAATTTTAATACACTAATTCTATTTACCAACAAAAAGCTACTGACAATAAAACTGACTAGTTTTGGAAAATCTTATGCCCACGCTGGTAAGTGAGGCATGGTGGAAAGTGGGAAAGGTAAGGCCACTATTAAATTTGCCTGATGCCTACTAGGGGGAAGAAGTGCAGGCTGAAGAGATGAGGATGTGATGCAGAGAAAAGGATTACTGCAAGGGCAGACAAAGGATACTAACAGGATTTTTTGGAAGGAGCAGAGGAAAACGAATGGTTTGTGGTTCTCAGTTTTAATACTTAAGCTTTGAGGTGGAGAAAGGGGTGTTCTGTTTTTGAATGGTCTACATAAGAGATGCTAGAAGTCTTCACAGGTGAAGGGGTTCATTGAGGATTTGTATCCACGTTTGCTTTCCAAATAAAAAAAAGTGGAGAATGAGGGATTCTAGCCACTGTTAAATAGTTTTGTGTGCTGAAGCTATGTTGTTTTTTTTTTCCTGTGAGAGACTTGCACATTATAAAATATTGAAAGAGCATTAAGGTTGCAAAAATAAGTTTGTTCTTGATTAAGAAAAGACAAATTCTTTAGTTCTTCCCTTATCCATGCAAGTATGTTCTGAGCATGTAAGATGCAACATTATACCACTGCCT